TTCGCTCAACCTACCCCTCTTCTTGTGAAGAGCTCCCTGTTGCTGGTAATATTTTGGTTAAAACCCCAATTTGGTCATTGAATTATTATACGGACTTTCGATTTGTTTCTTGAACTAAGAAAAACCTTGATTTAATCATTGAACTATTGTACGGACCTTCGATTTGATTTTTACTATTTATTAATTTAATCACAAGTTAATCATTCCGTACAAAAAACAATTGATGTATCCGTTATTTAACAATAAAAAAACAATAACTTAACGGTCATAAATCACGTTAATAACAAGACACATTAGCTATTTTTTGTCTGAAAATACTAATTTAAAGTAAATTGATAAATATTAGGAATCAAATCAAAGATCTATATAATAGTTCATGGGACCAAATCGAAGATTTCACCTAATATTTAATGACGTGGAAATTTTATTCTCTCACCCTTCACTTAGAATTTGAAAATGGTTCCCGTGAGCAGTGACTATACCAACAGCTGATGACTTAGATAAGTCACAAATTTGCTTAATTGAGAGAGGCAAAGTTCCTAAATTTACCCCCTTAAATAAGAGGGTAATAATAGTTATATCTTTAAAAAAAATATATAGAGATATATTATTTTTAAAATTATTAATTAAAATAAATCACTTATTATTTTATATATAACTTCATCACACATTAATTTTTTATTAAAAAATATTTAGGTATCAAATAGATTTTTAATATGTAATAATGTTACATGTTAATAAATAATTTATTTTAATTAATAATTTTAAAAATTTATCCTTGTACTTTTTTTAGGAATAATTCTTTTTCTACCCTTATATTTAAGTTGTGAATTTAATTCAAAGAAAGCAAAGATGAATATATGAGATTCAAGATTTTACCTTAAGCATCACTACTTTATTTGGCTTATTGCTTCAGGTACATGTGGAATCAATTACAACATTTTTACTTAAATCTTTCGTCATGTAAAATGAGTGAGTTGATGTCACATCCATAAAAAACCAAATAAATTATAAGTGTGATTATAGTTACACATTAATTTATTAAAATTAGATAATATTATTTAAAAAATAATTTAATTTAATTATTAAAGATAATTAATAAATAATAAAATAATATTTACTATTTAATAAATTAAAATTAATTTACATACTATTACTACTTAAATTAACAAAATACCAATTAAAGTGAATAAAAATTTACATAGTTTAATTGTTACCGTAACCACTAGCTGAATTATTTAGTGGATAATAAATTGTCATTCAGGTCGCTTCCAGAACCGTGCTTCTTTACTATTTTGGTAATTGAAGCCTAAATGTGGAAAATAATCATGCCGAAGATGCGTTAACAAATTAAACATTACCAGACGGGAGTAAAGATGAAGAAACATGTCAATTTTATAATTTTTTTATTTAAAAATATTAATTTTATCAATTTTTAAATAATTATATTTTTATTTAAGGATCTTATTTTTTAATTTTTTTAATTTTAAAATACTAATTTTTAATATTTC